AGTCAAAGTCCTGACCCGAATCCTATTGAGATGCTATGGCATGACCTTAAAAAGGCGGTTAATGCTAGAAAACCCACAAATAAAGCTGAATTACAACAATTCTGCAAAGATGAGTGGGCCAAAATTCCTCCAGAGCGCTGAAAAAGACTCATAGCAAGTTATCGCAAACGCTATGTATATATGTAGCAGTTATTGCTGCTAAGGGAGGCCCAACCAGTTATTAGGTTCAGGAGGCAATTACTTTTTCACACAGGGCAATGTAGATTTGGATTTTGTTCTCTCCCTAAATAATAAAAACCATCATTTCAAAACTGCATTTTGTGTTTACTTGTGTTATCTTTGACTAATGGTTAAAGGTGTTTGATGATCAGAAACATTTTGTGTGACAAACATGCAAAAGAATAAGAAATCAGGAAGGGGGCAAATAGTTTTTCACACCACTGTAGATGGTAGAAAGTCATTAACAGACCTGGGCTCTCCCAGAGTGTGATACCCAAAGAAGAACCAGGCTCACACAGTCGCGGAAGAGAAGGTTGAGGAGGTGTAGCCGCATTGGACATCCCGAAGATAAGATACTTTATTCAAACTCAAATCAAACTTTATTTATATAGCACTTTTCATGCAACACAAGCAACACAAAGTGCTTAACAGATTAAAATGACCCATATGACCCACATTCCCTCCCTTTCCCACATTTAAAACAAATCTATGGTGGGAAGCCTGCTGTGTGGGAGAACAGGCCAAATTAGACTTAAAAATGAATTTATATTTGAATTGTAACGATGATCAAAGCTCTGAAAATATGTCAGAGCCATAAGGAAAGATGTTTGAATTGGATTGCTTAGAAAAGTGTTGGCTGGTTGTGGGGGAGCATGCTGCTCAGGTGAAGAATATAAGAGCTCTGTCAAATGCTGGTAGGTCCCTTAATTAATATTAGAGCCAGTAGTAACTAGATAAATGCATCGCTTGCCAAAATACAGTTTGAATGTTGATTGCTGAAAGGTTGAGCAGATCCATCAGGGTAACAAGATGTAAGAATTTTTGGTCAGGAGTGAACTGGAGCTCCCAGAGAAACCCCCCACGCAGTACAAGGACACAGAAATGATGTGGAGGTGTGTTATCTGTGACATAATCCTTGTGCAGCCTTTTTTTATTTTTACAGACGATTAGGTAGCGATGTGTGTCAGGGAAGGGACGTGATTTAGTCACCCTTGATGGAAGTTCTCTTATTTTGAAATAATCTAAAAACGAACTAAAAACTAACAGTTTAATTTTTGATCTTATAACTAATATACTAAAAATGCCTCTAAAAACTATAATAAGCAAACTAAATATAACAAGTGAGCATTTAAACTCAGCTGTGGGAGCATATCGGACTCAACCTAAGTGAGAACATATGTGCATCAACTGCAGAATGCGGTATCTGTATAAATTTAGCAGCTATTTGCTGATTGAAAGACCAGCTCCATACACTTTTGTCTAAGGTCCTGGTATGAAGCATCTCTTTTGTCCAGATCTTTCTGAAATTTGCTCTTTTCTACCTCAGACTGTTTTGCTATAGTGTTTGCGTTTTGCACCATCTGGTTAGAGAGCTCTACTTTTTCAGTCTGAACACTAAAAATAATTTCCCCCATTTCTTTACGAGCTTTCGTTTCTGTTGGGTATTTTTATAAATGTACCTTTTTGAGGCCTAAAAGATGGCCATTACACATCATGCATCTCTGTGTTGGCTGTTCATGAAAGGTTGAGCAAAGATTTTAATTGTGGGTTTCCAACTGAAAACTGTACCTCTGTAACCTGAGAAGGCCCGCCTTCTCCCCCATCGATTTGTGAATAAAGCCCCTGACGAACTGGGAGCACACGGGAGTGACGTGGGGAAGCCTCGGAGGAGGTTTCTCTGCGTTAACTCTCCATGTTTTGGAGACTCAGGGTAAAATGTCGTCCTTGTTGTCATGCGTGTTATTACAGGTTCCAGGATTATGGAGATTAAATATTATCTAACGGATAAGTGGAGAATGCAGGTGTACAGAGCTGGTGAGGTGAAGGCTTTGAGGCTGGAGCAGAGTGGGGGCTGGTTGAGCCACACACATGGACATTACAAATAATCAATTTACTCTCTCTCTCTCTATCAAAGGGTGTGTCGTCCTTTAAGGTAATATGGGATAAAATCAAATTACCTATCAGTTTCTTTCTCTAATTCCCGGCGTAAATGTTCTACTTGCTGATGGCTATCTGAAAGCTCAACTTTATATTTATCTTCTAGGCTTTGATATAAAACGTCTTTCTGCTCGAGATCCTTCATAAAATTCCTCTTTTCTATTTCAAACTGTCCTTCTTTAGCTCGTGCTTTTTCCGCCATCCGATTATAAAGCTCGAATTTTTCATCCAGAAAAATCAAATACGTTTCCTTGATTTCTTTATGAGCTTTCATCTCTTTCTCTAATTCTCTGCGTAAATGTTCTACTTGCTGACGGCTGTCTGAAAGCTCAGCTTTATATTTATCTTCGAGGCTTTGATATAAAACGTCTTTCTGCTCGAGATTCTTTTCAAATTTACGTTTTTCTTGTCCAAACAGCCTTTCCATTTCATCAGCAGCCTTAATCATTTGAAGACCGATTGCCTCTTTCTCTGCCTGAATAGAGAGAATAATATTTAGTTTTTCCTCACGTTCGTCTAAATGATCTTTTCGTTCTCTGTCCAAGTCCCGCTGGACATTTTCTGCCAGCTGTTTGCTGTTAAAAAGGTCTGATTTATATTTTTCTTCTAGGCTTTGATACAAAACGTCTTTCTCTTCAAGATGTTTTAGAAGGCTCCTTTTCTCTCCTCCAAACAGTCTTTCCATCTCTTCTGCAGCCTGAGTCAATTGAAGACCCAACGCCTCTTTCTCTGCCTGGATAGAAAGAATAATACTTTGATTTTCCTGGCGTGTGTCTAAATGAGCTTGTTGTTCGCTTTTTAACTCCTGCTTCACCTTCTCAATCAGGTGACGGCTGTCTGAAAGCTCTGCTCTATACTTATCTTCGAGGCTTTGATACAAAACGTCTTTCTGCTCGAGATCCTTCATAAAATTCCTCCTTTCTATTTCAAACTGTCTTTCTTTAGCTCGTGCTTTTTCCGCCATCCGATTATAAAGCTCGACTTTTTCATCCACAACAGTAAAAGTCATTTCCTTGATTTCTCTACGAGTTTTCATTTCTTTCTCTAATTCCCGGCGTAAATGTTCTACTTGCTGATGGCTGTCTGAAAGCTCAGCTTTATATTTATCTTCGAGGCTTTGATACAAAACGTCTTTCTGCTCGAGATCCTTCATAAAATTCCTCTTTTCTATTTCAAACTGTCTTTCTTTAGCTTGTGCTTTCTCCGCCATCCGATTATAAAGCTCGACTTTTTCATCCAGAACAATAAAAAACATGTCCTCGATTTCTCTACGAGTTTTCATTTCTTTCTCTAATTCCCGGCGTAAATGTTCTACTTGCTGATGGCTATCTGAAAGCTCAGCTTTATATTTATCTTCAAGGCTTTTACATAAAACGTCTTTCTGCTCATAATTTCTCTTGGTTTCATTGTGGGACTTTTGTTCGTCCTCGAAATCCTTAATGACCATATATGTAGCTTTGATAGTTGCAAAAAAACATTCCTTCTCTTGGCGTCGCTCACGTTTTTCTGTGGTCAAAAGGTTATTTAACCTTATAATTTCTTCCTGGTAATTTATGGTATCCATTGATGCTTTTTTGTGGTGTAAATATCTTAAGAATGATTAATATTTGCGGATAGATAAGCTATTGGCTCATGTAAAACCTTACCTCTTCTGAGATGTGTTCACTTGGAGACACTCCAACCGACTGATTTGACAATCCTGTACAGCTCTTTAATACGTGTGTTATGACGTCACTGAGCCTTTGCTGTTGGCCACGCCCCTTATAATTATGCAAATCAGATGCAGACCACTAGCACGCACGCAGTAGCGTCTGGAATGGAACGCAGAACTTTTAATATTTCACAATAAGAGTCTGAAACATAAAACACGCATCTCAAAAGATCTTAGACATATACATTGTTTTGTTAAACGTGTTCTCTCAGTATTTTCTGACAACAGGATTTAGATGCTAACTTAGCTTAAAAACTTTATTTGGTTATGAGGTACGTGTGATTTCTTGAGACTTTTATTTTGAAGGGTCAGAGTTCCGTTGTGCACAATACACTTTACAAAAGTAAACAGTGCCTTGTACTAATAGAAATTTAAAAATAATTAGTAAGATATAGATTTAATTATATATATATATATATATATATATATATATATATATATATATATATATATATATTATAATTTAACAATATATGGTTCTACTTATTACTTTTTTCTGTTTTGTTTAAAAAGAAAAAAAGAGTAGTTGAAAGTCTTATGTAATGTATTAGAAAATGTAAAAAGTGGTCTAATGTTATGCATGGTTGAAAAATTGCCATGTTAAACACTGCTGCCATCTTTTTTAATTTTTTTGTTTGTTTACCTGACATGTTGTTTGTTTACCTGACATGTTAAGCTAGTACCTGAAACATGTCAGGTAAACAAATCATTTTTACTAAACTGTGTCAGAAAAGAACTAAAAAGTGAATTACGGACAAAACACAGTATGAACGCACAAAAGACTGCTGCCATCTAGTGGTGAGTTTTTATACTACGGTGCAGTGGACAACTCCCAACTGTAAATGCTCCTGCTTAAGCAGTCAGGCTTGCTTGTACGGTTTTCAGCAAACTCTGCACACATCTTGATTTTTCTGATTGCATCGTCTGTTTAAACTCACAGAGGCTGCAGGTCTGTGATTCAGTGATTGGCTCTTGCAATTAGTATAATGAAGACATGTAATGGCAATATCTCAAAAGGTAATTGTAATAAATATAAATCCTAAAAACTTATTTTCACAGGAAAGGTAATCAGATTTTTTTGTCTTGCTTTTAAGAGTACACTTTATGGTGACTATTAAATGAAAATTTGTCTTACCTTAATTTTAACGTACAGCGATTACGGCGTAACCTACGTGACACCGCCCCTATCCTCCTTCTCTCTCCTCCCTTTGTGCAGTTAACAGGCTCCTTCTCTGCTAAGACTAACAACACATCTACAGGTACGTTTGTTGTCTTCCAATGAAACACAACACAGCTAGTTTTACGTTTACGTCGCCATGGTATGGTTGTTTTCAGTGGGTTAAGTGTTCACCTTGTGGTCCGGAGCTGTCATTTTTCCCACCCGGCTTCACTGAAGCGGGATGCAAATATAGCAGAGATGCAGGGCCCTCTGCTTGGTTCATATGCCATCTGCTGCTAGCTTGGTGGCTAATGCCTTCCAGTGAGTGCGGTCATTTGAATCAAAAAGTAGGACGCAATTGCGCAGGTTGATGTTTATCAAGTAGGTTATCTACTCAATGGCTTTTTATGAGCTCTCTGCTTCCTAAGCGGCCCTAATTGCTCTCAGGAGGCGTTCTTATCTGCGAACCACCTTGATAGCGAGTTTATGCTAACTTGTTAGCAGACATGAGGATGGTAGCTTTTAAAATGATTTTATTTCGAATCTGGAGTTCAGGGTTGTGGTTCATAGCATCACACTAAACTGTAAAACCACATTACTCGTACCGTTTAAGTTTTTTGTTGAATTTTCTAAAGACTACAAGTAAGTTAACGCTGAAGGACAACTAAAGGTGTAAATGCTAAGATTAGGGATATGGAATAGCCCTCTTCGTGTTAATTCTTGTAAATACCGATGTTAAAAAAGTTTGGGTGAATATAAATGTTTAAATGTTATTATCCACAATATTATCTGACTCCTGTTGGGTTTATCAGCTGTCGTGTTCAGTAGTGATCTAGTCACACGTCCTTTAGAGCCTCTGACATTCCTGCCTGAGTGAAAACCAAGCTAAAGGGGTGTGTGCAGTTTTAACGAGCAGCCACGTTATTTTTCGGTCTAGGGTTGTTTATCTAGGATGGCCATGGTGACTAACTTTTAAAACAGCTCTTTTAATGTTTCATTAGCAAATTAGCCTTTTTGAGGTTGTTTCATCCTGCAGAATTAGAGTTTAAAAGGAAATTGAAAGCTGCAACCAAGCAGATAGTGGTGATGTAATTTGCAACGTGCATGTGATCATTTTCACTGCTCTCATAATCCGGTTCAAAGGCATTTTTATCTAAGCGTATCATGATCATTAAAGGTGATGTACTAGTTCAGATTTTTTTTTAAAATCCAATATAGATTTCCAGTTCTGTTACACCCGTCACCTGCTGGGGCGACGGTGGCACAGGAGTTAAGTGCTTGGTCCCAACGTGGGTTAAGACACTTAACCTTCACCCACGTTGCCTGCTGGTGGTGGTCAGAGGGACCGGTGGCGCCAGCGCTCGGCAGCCTCGCCTCATTGTAGCACATCCTCACCAGTGTGTGAATGTGTGTGTGAATGGGTGAATGACTGATTGTGTTGTAAAGTGCCTTGAGGGGTTCCAGGACTCTAGAAGGCGCTTTATCAAATACAGGCCATTTACCTGCTGATACCAATTTTCATGATTCTGATTTATCTCAACTGTCGTTGAACATAGGTCAAAATAGGATTAGCTTGGAAAAAATAAGATTCTACAGGCCAAATTTAGCATGAAAAATCTGTTTTTACCTGCATATTTTAGCACTTGTTATTTTGGATTTTTTTTAAATTGCAGTTTGGAAGTGTTACGTTCACAGACCAGGGAAATAATTATATTTTTGAGTTTCAGATTAATTAGTCATTAATTAAGCCGATCATCATGCTGAAATTTGGCTTATTCTGATCTCTAGATTATAATATTTTTGTGTGCTTTTACTTATAACCATTACTTAAGCCGCTGTCTTTTGGTGTAGCTCTTTTAAACTTTGTTGCTCCAAATAATTATAAATTGTTGTGAAATTCAAAGAAGAAAAAATGCCAGATTTGCAGAGGTACTGCAGATTTTAATCATTTGATCAAGTAGATTAGAATATATGGAGGAGTTATTGAAATTGGGATGTTACTTTTCCACATGTCAATAAAATTTTCACGAGTTAAAAACATTGTTTTAAAGTCATTATGCATTATTTTCCCACCACAGCAGAAATTGTCGTAAAAAGTTTAAATTTCCTTCTTTTGACAGTATCTCCAAATTCTAAATAATCACAATTTCTTTTTAATTATTAGTTCCAATTATTTTGATAAAATCTAGTATAATTTCATGTATTTTGTGCAGTTTTTCTTGATAAGTTTACCTATTTTACCTGGTAGGCCATCTCTTTGGCATTGCAGACTGTTAAAAGCATGTTCTATCTTCTGTCAACATGAACATGTTTGTTATCAATACTCCTATGTAACTACTGAACCTGCACCAGCTCTTGTGCTCCTAACAAATGTGTCTCATTCTAGTGATGAAATTTCTTTCCCAATAGAGTGTTCAAGGACAAAGAGTTGCTCACACAGACGATAGCAGAAGGTTAGCAAAGAGCCTGCTTTGTGTTCCAGTCAGCGGTCCTCATTGTCCCTTCTGTTCTTGGCTGACTCCAGTTAGTAACTTGAGCCTTAAAAGGGCAAAAAAGACTTTAAAAGAAGTTTAAAATATTAGCCGTAAGTATTCATACTGTGAAAGTTTTATTGAAAGCACACGCTGGAAAGTCACTGGCTAAATAAAAGGAAAGACGCTGTGTAGAGACTACTTTGAAAAGATTCCCACTTTTCCTATCAGTGACCTTCAGTTGACCTTGCCTTTGTGTTTTAGAAACATGGTGTTTGGACGGTCCACCATTGTTTTGTGTGTTCAGTCTTTTGCTCCAGAACAGTTTTAACTGACAGAGACGACTTTCTTTTCTAGACAATGGCTGTACCTCCCACCTATGTTGACCTTGGAAAGTCAGCCAGGGATGTTTTTACAAAGGGATATGGTAAGCACCAAGTCACCACTTTGACCTTTTGTTTTATCTTATTGAATCATAACACAGTTAAAAGAAAGTTACTTAAAATCACAGTAGAACATGCTAAAACATATAGCCCATAGTAATTCTATTCAGTTTATTTATATAGCGCCAAATCACGACAAGAGTCTTCTCTAGGCACCACACAGTAAACATTCCAGTACAGGCCAGTTCATTAAGCCAGTCAGTAAAAGCCTTCCTATATAAGGAACCCAGCAAATTACATCGTGTCACTGACTAGTGTCGCAATCCTTCTAACAAAAGTGATCACATTACACTACATCAAAAATAACTAGAGACAATGTGTAGTTTTTGCTATTAATCTCTGGAAACATTCATTAAAATGTTGAAAATTAATGAAATGGTGCCCAGTCGTTGAAAAATATTGGGCATTGTTACATAACCATAAAAATCAGGTCTAAATGACATGGGAGCAGGTCTAAGTCTCTCGGCGACGCCGTGTTTCTTTACATGGGAGCCCATAAGGACAAAACGCATTTATTGATTAGAAGGAATGCATGTTTTCAAAATGTTTTTTAACCGGTTATTGACGCCCCTTAATGGTTAAAAGCCGGTTAACGGAAACCAACGGAAAGCACTCGGAGCAGTTCAGGCTGATTTTTTAAAGCTTGGTTTATGCTTCATCAGCTCGAGTGCGGAGTTGTGCGCTTTAGTTGACTTGAAAGTTAAACTTGTCTTTTTAAAATGGTTTGAATTTTTCTGATGGCACATGTAAATTTAAACAAGCTAAAACGTCAGAGTTTCTCTTTCAATGCATGCGTCTCTCGCGGAGCTGACCGCAGCATAAACTAGGCTTTAGAGCAACGTTTTAGTGAGGGAAAAACTATCAGACGGCTTACCCCGGGTTTCCACGGGAGCCGTCAGCAGCACGTTACTGCAGCAGCACGTCTTGCTCGCGTAAGCTGCTGCTTGGCCCTTCCCACGAGACGCGAAGCAGCAGGGGAGCAGCTGCCACCGACAGAGCACGAAGTCACACGAGTGACTTCGTCAGTAAACACAACAACAAGCAGGAGAAAACTACAACATGGTTTGTGTTTTATGTTCTGTCCGTTTTATAATCGCCAATACGGACCTGAAAAACAAAGGAGACCGCTAGCTAGGAGATAACTTCTCACGGGGACGCACAGTTAGTAACATTTTTTAAAAGTAAAGCAACCGGAAGGCAGTACGTTCTTTATTCTGAAAATCTCGGGAGCTTCTCTCCATTTCCACGTCCGATTTCCTGTCTTTCCTTCCCCAAAAATGTCGAACTTGACCCGTTTCAGAGGCGTCGCGCGTAGAAAATAGAACCGGCGCGTAAAGACCGCGACATGCTGCTCCTGAGACGCGGCCGACTCGCGCTGCTGACGGCTCCAGTGGAAAAGGTTCTGTTGACCACAGCGGTTCCTATCAGCAGCTATGACGTGCTGCTGCAGTAACGTGCTGCTGACGGCTCCTGTGGAAAGCCGGGGTTAGAAAACATGCAGCCAGTCTGCCTTGGTAATGCAGGGAAAACTGTGTGATATTTTTTGTTATTTAATACATTTGAAAGCTGTTTCTACCTTCAGATTTCTTTCTTGCATTTTTGGAGGAGAACTAGAACATGTTTTTACACACCACCTCTAGATAAAAATCACAGGTTTCTTTGCAAGCACATAAAAAAAGTATATAAATATAAGAATGGGAGAAAAAATTAATAACTGTTTTTATTGTATTATTACATAGTACATATTAATGGAAATGATTTGTTGTAGTAGATTAGAATCTAAACCATCTTTTCACTTGATCTACAGGATGGCTTGGCAGGCTAGTGTTGTACCTTTTGTTTCAAGAAGATCATGAATTGAACTGAAATCACAATTTCTGATAGAAAATTTGCAATTCAATCTTTTCCTAAAATTGTTCAGCCCTAACGTAAACAGTATAGTACAGTATGAGGTGGCTTGCCTGGCCATTGAGTCACTATATTGGATCTTACCTATTGTGCTTTAAATTAACAAAGGTGACTTTCATTTGAAAATTGGTTCGTGATTGGTATTTGTTTGTGTATACACACACACCTGGTGGGTTAACACTGATTGCCTTTGAACATCAGAAATCTTCAGCACTCTGATTTATATACGTGCCAAGAGTAAGAGTGGTCTTTATGATATGCAGTCATGCTTCCTCCAATCTGACACAGAATTGAGGTGTAGTAGAATAAATGGAAATTTACAACACATGTGAGCAACACACGTAGTCGGAACATTTCATATGATCCACCTAATTAGTCTTTATAAATGTCCTATTTAATTCATTTGTACAAAGACTGAATCTGACCGTGTGCTACCAGTTCTATCGCACTGAAAAGCAGGTGACAGATCTAAATGTTGGCTAAAGATGCAATTATGGTATGAGTGTGGCTCGATGTATAAAAACAGTCTAATGTTTTTCATCGCCTTACAAATCTTAAGAATTCATGTGAATCTTTGAAGGGTCTAAAGTTGGCCTGGTTATTATTTTATTGTCTGAGATTTTATTTGCTTGTTTTAGGCTTTGGGCTCATCAAGCTGGACTTGAAGACAAAGTCTGACAATGGACTGGTAAGTTGTCACCATTCATTATCAGGTTATCGGTACTGCCCCTGGTACTGCCAATCTAACCTACAGAAGTCCTGTCTTAGTTTAAGAAGTTACTGGTTAATTGCAGCGATGGGAATAACGCCGTTTAAAATAACGGCGTTCTTTTTTTGGGTAAAGGAATAATCGAATTAATTACTTTTCCCACTGTCACAACGCCGTTACCGTTACTGGGGATGGAAGGTTGTGCGTTACTATGTGCTTGTCGAACGTTGAGCAGCAGTGTGAGGCTTTCTGACCGCCACACATCAGCTACAGCCAGGGAGAGAGAGGTGCCGGTAACACACTTACAAACACCATGATGATTGGCCGGGTGGGTGGAGACCCTCACGGTCTCAGTCGCTGCATGCTGTGGACACAACAGAGCAGTGATGGAATAACGCCGTTTAAAATAACCGCGTTACTAAAAAAATATTTCTTTCAGTAATGAGCAATTTAATTACAGTCTTCTTTTATCAAAACGTCGTTTTTGTTACTGTTAAGGAAAAGCGTGCGTTAAGCTGCGCGGTGTGTTGAAGCTGTCATCAGCTGATCAGGAGCTAAAGAGGTAGATGTTTTCATCCAAACGCATCACGGCCCGTGAAGAACGAGGAAGAAGTGATGAGTACTCCACGGCTGCAGGTGTGGATCTGCAGCCGCGCCCTTCTTAGCGTGACAGCGGGACGTCCCGAAGGTCCGCTCATCTGTTCACCGCTCAGACGTCACGATCTTCTACCTTCCTAGATCATCCAGCTGTAACCTGTTTCTGATCATGTCTTTAGTCCCGCTGTAACACTGATGCATCAGTCTCAGGCATCATGGAGCTCAGGTGTTATTAGAACTACCTGTGTGTGTTTACCACCCAGCTTCAGCTCTTCTGTGGTTGGGTCTGACCCAAGTTAGTAAATGTGAGTCCTCCATCAGATTTGTGCCTCTTCTAGTGTCATTTTAAAGGATTTTATTTATTTATTTATTTAACCGTTACTAGATTACCAGCAACAGAAATGCTACTAAAAACACACAATTATGTGAAGCTGGAAAAATTAAAATGCTGTGCAAAATTACATTCATTTCTGTAATTTAACTAGACTGAGAGACCATTTAAAGGCCTGGGAACCTTTACAGGTGTTTCTATTTGCAATTTTAAATTTTAGCTGATTGGGGTCTTGTTAAATATCACACCGTGACCTTTTATTAGTCTAGATAAGTGTAATGTTCCTATTTGTAGTTCCTCCTGTTAAGTGCCTATTTAAATTATTCAGGTTTATAAAAAACATTTAGACATACATTTTATTATGTTCCAGTCATTAGTCATTTATATTTCACTATTGTAGCAATTTATAGTAAATTAAGTTCAATTAACCCATTTTTCTTGCATCCTTTAATGAAAAAAGTAACTAAGTAGTTATTTTTCTTGGTAATTAGTTACTTTTATAATCTCTTAACTCAGTAACTGAGTTACTTTTTTGACAAAGTAATTAGTAACTAAAACTAATTACTTTTTAAAAGTACCTTTCCTAACACTGGTTAATTGCATTTTAACTACAAACCTTTGAAATAACAAAACAAATATGTCCGTATAATCTTAGTACTGCACGTTTGATGTCAAATGAAAATGTCATTGCACATTAGTGGTTCTAGACATCTGAAATTAAAGCGTTGGCCTTTTTTATTTTTAGTAACTTCTTTATTCCCAGCTAATTTAATATCTTATTTTAATGCTTTGGTTGAGAAACAGTAACAGGAGGTTTTGACTTTTTAAGCACTGAGCTTGTAGGTATTTGTGCAGGAATGATGGGTTATCATGTTCTGCAGGAGTTTGCCAGCGCATGCTCTGCCAACACTGAGACAAGCAAGGTCGGCGGGTCGTTGGAGACCAAATACAAGTGGTCTGAGCATGGACTCACCTTCACAGAGAAATGGAACACGGACAACACTCTGGGGACGGAGATCACCGTTGAGGACCAGGTGATGTGGTGAAAATGGATTAGGAGTTTCCAAACAGTGATTTGTATTATAGTTTTTCTGTCTACACTGTGGCACATTCTCAGTTTTGGCTTCATTTCCTGTTTGTCCGACAGTTGACTAAAGGGCTGAAGCTTACGTTTGAGTCCTCTTTCTCTCCAAATACTGGGTAATGACTTTAGTCACAACTATTCTAACGGCGAATCCATCCTTTAAGTACATTATCATGAAGGGTTGAGTTATTATTTATTTATTTTTGTTCTTTTGTACCCCAAACATGCCACCAGCAAGAAAGGTGGCAAGTTCAAGACAGGCTACAAGTGTGAACACATCAACCTGGGCTGCGACGTCAACTATGACATTAACGGTACAGCCATTCACGGCGCTGGCGTGATATGCTACGAGGGCTGGCTCGCCGGTTACCAGACGACCTTTGAGGCCGGCAGGAACAAGATCACCCAGAGCAACTTTGCTGTTGGATACAAGACCGATGAGTTCCAGCTGCATACAAATGTGTAAGATGCAGCATGTTCAACCACCAGCACACGTGTGCACGATACATAATGCATTTTTAAACTGCATACAGGCTTTTCTATAACTTTGGTTTGAAGTTTCTCCTTGCTGCCCGTTCAGCTTTCTGTCAAATGCCAGGGTTTTTTACTCTTCATAGTGATGATAGGAGATAGAAGTGGTTTGCTGTGAAAGGACAGAGGGGTGTGGTGTCAGACAGGGAGCGGAACGGATTGGGGCGTGTTCCTGCTGTGCCCCCCAGGTAAAGCCTGTCAGTTACAGTCTGCAGCAGAAGCGGTAATGTGAGGTCAGACAAAGGTTAACGTAGGCTTTTCATGAGGCTGAACACTTCAGTTGGATGTGCCATCACTGATGGAAGCAGGACCGATATGCACATTCTAAGATTTTGGAGCTTCATATTAGGGATGTAAGAGAATATCGATATGGCAATATATCGTGATATTTTCCCAGCAATATTATATCGATATTCAAAAGCAGTGTATCGGAAATATCGATATGGCAATATATCGTGATATTTTTTCCTGCGATTATTACATCGATATTCAAAAGCCGTGTATCTAATTCCTGAAAGAATTTACATGCAAACATTTGTGTATTTTCTTTTCGTTTTGCGCAATTCAATCGCCAACTGCTAGTTGGCAGCAGTGTGCAGCGGGTTTTGTTTCCACCATTGAAATGTAAATCCCTCCATCATGGTTTAGATACCTCATGTTAAACATGTTACGTATCAGTTTGAACTGTTTATTGAACATTCTTACAATAAGTTCAGTAAAAATAATTGCTTGTAACGTTTGACTGAATGTATCGCAATATATCGTGATATATCGTATAATTTCCCCTGTATCGTGATATGTATCGTATCGCCAGAATTTCAAAAACACACATCCCTACTTCATATATATATTTTTTAAGCTTGCATGATCATTCCAAATAACATATCTGTATCATAATCTAATAACATTAGTCACAAACGGCTGTGTTTCACAGAAATGATGGCACAGAGTTTGGTGGTTCCATCTACCAGAAGGTGAATGAAAAGCTGGAGACAGCTGTGAACCTGGCCTGGACCGCTGGAAACAGCAACACCCGCTTTGGAATTGCTGCCAAGTATCAAATCGATCCCGATGCATCTTTCTCCGTGAGTAGCCTGTCTTTGAAGTGGCAGTAGCAATGGCGATGCAGTCCACCCCTAACCCTATTAACAAGTTGAATTAAAGTGCACCACAGTTTGTAGGTCTAGTGGTGTCTGGGTCCCATGCTGGGTGAGACGACTGTAAGCTTCAACTTCATTCAAGTAAAACAGCCCTTTGCTAATTTTGGCCTGTTCATCACATTAGTGGTAAATCCTCCTTGTAGCCAAGCCCATTAGTGTGACTGGTTGCTTACTGGGGCCGTATTTGACTGACGTTGTATTAGTTTTTATCTGTTTACTGGTATTAATTCAAATTGCAACTAAATAATAGAAATTAATGAAAATATTTTAATAAATGTAGGAATTAGAGCTGTAGCTCTCTTAAAGCCTTTCACGTTTTAATCAAAGTTCTTTACAAACAGATGATTTTTTTAACTGTTTTGAAAGAAGATAAGAAGCTTTTGAATATATTTAATGTTGGCATTTACATAAAAAATCTGTTTTTAGCCCAAAACATTCTTTAAAAGAAGCTTTTAGGTGATAAATGTCATCACCATTGTGGAAAAACATAAAAAAAAAATTGCCAGCAGTTCTCATGGAATAAAGTGTTGAAAGCCTGGTGTAGCATGATGTCAGAGGAAGCCCTTTGCTTGGTGACATCTAAGGGATCCAGGCTTTAGGCCATCATGGCCTTCAGTAGATTCTCTACTTTAATGATCAATCTTTTCACAGGCTAAGGTGAACAACTCCAGCCTTGTGGGACTGGGCTACACTCAGACTCTGAAGCCAGGTGAGTTGGTCATTTAAAGACAATACGCCTAAATGCACTGAGTTCACACCGATCAATGTTTTATTGTAGGGATGCACCTATATGACAGTTTAGGCTACAATCATACTGATATTATTTCCAGTACCGGAAGTTGAGGGAAGATTTGCAGAAATTTTCTGACATACACGATTTCCACTTGACCGGGCCGGCTGAACGGCCATTTTCAGGAACTTTCAGAGTCCCTGATCAGGGTAGGTACTCGGAATGGCCTGGTGGAGTTGCTGAGTGGAACGTTTGGTTACCTCATGCTGATTGGTTGTTACTCAGTAGGAAATGGCTTCAGCAGACGCCGCTCAAAACAACTGGCAGTAGTAAAATTAGAAGAGTTGCTTGTGAAGCCGAATAGAAGCAAAAGAAAATGAGCACAGAGCATCACACAGCTGCTCCCATCCTCTGATAGATTAAATTATGATATTTAAATTATGATATACTTTGACAGAATAAACTTAATGTTAATATTGTTACCCCAAAATTCCACTATCTGCGCTCCGCTCCGGCACGAACTCCGCAACAAAAACGGTCCTGTTGTAGTCAATCAGAGCTGCTCCACTACTGCAGCCGTGCGGCGCAGTGCGCCGCCCGCCATTCGGCGAAAATAGGATTGCTTCTATTTTTGCCGGACGCCGGAGCACCTCCGCAGAAACCACAACCGCCCAACAGGAAAAGGAGCAAGCACAACTTCCATTATTTCACAATAAATCTATAAACAAAAAGTGTTTTTTGTTTCGTATGCACAGGTTTAACAACTTTTAACAACTATCAATGGCGGTTGAACTTTAAATGCACAAAAACAAGGCATAAATACAGTTTCCACTATCAAAGTAGTCACACTTTGTTGATCCAAACACTGCTGATCTCTCAACACAAATGATGGGCAGATTAAACAGTTCATTTTGATGCTTCTCCCACACAACGGGTGTTTGGATCTAACTTCTGCGTTTATTGCTCGGACTGTATCGCAAGATCTCGAAAATCCCACGCATGCTTGTTTGCGCACCTCAGGTCTCCACACCGGAGCGGAGCCGTTGTAGAGCGGGTACAGTATAATTTGAGTTCGGAAGCGAGCGGCAGCGGAAAGCGGGGGCGGAGCGGAGATAGTGGAATTTTGGGGTTACTGTGGATGCTTGTGGACGCTGATCAGTGACATCACTTCCTGACGAAGCAGTCGCGATATGATGACTGCAAAGTCCTGAAAGGGCTGCATTTGAATGGAGACACCACCTGAGAGGACCGGGACATCCTATCTCCCGCTTAAATTCCCCCTCCCAGAATTTACCCTGAAGTTTCGGCAATGGAAACACAGCTGTTATTGCAGTTATGGCCAACAACCCATAAATACAATAATGTATATATTTTGCAACGTTTTCAACACCTAGTAGAAGTGACCTCACCACCTACATTGCTTTTTTTGTTACAATTAAACACCGCCACAGTCCTACGTCGCGACATCACTATCACAGTCACAGCTACAAGATGGAACAAAGAATCGGTTTCTAACATTGGGCCAGTTTTACAAATCGGACCAATACCGATGTGTTTAAAAATGACTTCACGTCGGCCTAAAGAATTTAAAACAAATGTTTCTTCAAGGGTTTTACTGTTGAGCTAACATATTTAATTAAATCTATGGAAAATAACATGTAAATGTTGTTTTGCAGGGATCAAGCTGACACTTTCTGCTCTTCTTGATGGTAAAAACATCAATGCCGGCGGCCACAAGCTTGGTCTTGGTCTTGAGTTCCAAGCATAGAAAGGATAATCGGATGGCCATCCAGACCTCTGAGCATTTCCCCACCAAAAGAAAATCTGAGTCCTGTAATTAGTCCCACCTCACAGTCCTTCTCCCCTTATCTTTGACGTGCTACAGGTGGAAACGAGCCAGAGTTGGTGAATATTTTGTCGCAACAATCTTCTACTTTAAAAAGACCACTTAAAGCAAATATAAGTTAAAGAGATCACTTGGGAATAAGTGAAATAGTTTACCCTGATGTTTGAAGCTAAATTAAATAATTTATAAAGAAAAAAACTAGCTTTGAGAACTTTTCACATTTGTGTCACCATTTCTTTAGTATTATATATGCAATACTTTTAACTATGTCCTTTTAACGGCAGTGAAAAAGGAAAGAATGAGATCAGCCCAAGATACATGGAGGGCTGGCATGCAATGGTTTTGTTGCTCCTCCAGATGGTGCTGCTGCTTGACACCAGTTAACACTCCTCACAGGGTTAAGTGGTGAAAACTTGTTTCATTCATTCAAACACTCCGATACTGAGAGCTTCTGTGTCTGTCTTGATATTTTAAATGAGGGGAAGGGTTAGTTGTCCCTGATGTTAGCAGCTGTGGGTAGCTCTAAGAGACACTACATCCCAATGTGTACTTTCTGTGTTATTGTCTCAATCGTCTTTTGTGTCTGTGTATTTGGTGTGAATTTTTTCTTTTGTTACATATAGCAACAGAGGATATTTTATTGAGAGTCTTGCATAGTTAATACCACTTAAATGTCTTACGAAAGCAAAGACTTGATAATTGTCAAGAACACAGAACTGTCATCATTCACATACCTGATCTCTTGGTATTAAAAGTTTATGCTTTTGAAGAGGATGAAAAAATAAATAAAAACACTTCTGGAAATTGTTGTCTTCCATGAGTAGTTATGGGAATCAAAGTTATTGTACTTGACAGGATTGACATTCCTTGGACTAAATAAAGAACTTGATGAACCGGCTTTTAAAATCTTTTATTTCCCCCCACAATCGCATCAGATTACAATCTTAAATTTTCTTAAGGTATTTTGCTGGGGCCAAGATATTCAAAATAATGTTTTGAGTCTTTGTCACAATACTGACTGACTAGGAAATAATTACAATGTGTGGGAAGATCATCTAGTTTTCAGGGGCAATTACACGGTGTAGTTTTTGATCCCATTAACTTGTTTTTAAATGTGAAGGTTAAGAAAATACAATGTGAATTAATCGAAATAAGAATTCACAAGTGAATCACAATTGGAATGGAGAGAGAGGTAGAAACGGGCAAACAAAGTCGAATGTACAAAAATCGAATAGCCAATAATTTAAAGAAACAAGTACATTAAAAGTACTATGCTAAATTAATAATCAGTAAAATTAAAACTAAAAACACGAGCCCACATGAGGCCACGCCCACTAAACGTTTAAAATCCCACAAGCCGTGCCTCCCTCTTCAGTCACATGAGCAACATGGCGACATTCAGTAATCTGGGTCGAAGCAGAAGAAATCTTTTTGCTGTTTGTTTGATTATTTTCCTTCAGGTGTGGGCCACTGACTGCGCTTCGATTACAGCGAATAAAACAACGAACGGTATGCCACTAGTGAGAAGAGTTTTTTTTTAAATCAACTTAAAAAAGGATTTTGCGAGTTAGCCAAATGACGTTAGCATGACGAGCTAGTTAGCATGTCATGTTAGCTAAAAGGCCGTTTCGTGTTGTCGAAACTTCAAATAAGCAGTGTTTCATTAGTCATGTAAGAATACAACACCGCTTAAGATCGTACTATTTTAGGTGAAATGTGTGATACTGTGGCTTTTAATAAGTTGCCATCTAAGGTTGTTTTTGGGTGAAATGGTCAGAAAATGTACCTAGTACGTACTTGGCCTTCCGTTGTGCTTTATGTGCGATCACGCCTCAGTTCAAAGCGGAAGTAATATTGTGAAAGACAGAAGATTACAATATTTTGCTGACTTTCATTTTAAAAGGGTTGGGCAGCTGTCAGACTTCCACAATGTTTGTTTTGTTCATAAGCGGGTACAATAAGAAGGCTCACCTTTTACTTTTCTCTGGTTACTTTATTCATGCCAGTAACCCGTTTTCTATATCAAAACTTAGCTGTTTATAGAGTGAACTCTCACATGCTGTCTTATGCAGTAAAACACAACAAAGGTCTCCTGTTCTGTCATTATTTCTGCTGGCAAAGGACTGTGCTTATGAATAGACTCTTTCTCCTCCTGAGGGTTTCTTATTCTAGTCCCTAATGTTCTCCCGTTCCATCCTAGGCTACGCCTCATACTCCCAGAGGATGAAATCATGTTGGTGCTTGTTAGTTAAATGGCGCCATTGATTCACAAAGGCTGACTTGGTTTAAAAAACAAACAGAAAACCACTCACATTTAGTAACTAATACGACTTGTATAAAATTGGATTTTGAAAACTGGAAGTACATATAAATGCTGACAATATTTTATTAGTCTTAAACATTCGTGCCACGTCTTCACAAACTAAAATGTTTTATTATTTTCTCTCTCAAACAGAGACGGGCGATAATTTGACATCCCAAAGACATGCCAATGTAGATGTAAAGGACCCCTCAACGAATAAACTGAGTCCAGAAAATGCAACGCTTACGACGGAACTGAACACTATTTCTGCCAGGAACCCCAAAACAATTAAAGCAGCTAAAACTGAAATAACAACCACTCAACAGAAAATGAGTCTGCTGACAACGAAAAGTTTTGCAACCACTAAAATGAATTCATTTCCAACAAAAAAAGATGCTGTTTCAACAGTTAAAAAGCCCACAACCAAGGCTCCACCTCAAATCACTCCACTTCATCCTTCAGTAGCTCCAGAGTCCTCTGTCAAAGTGCCCAAACCCACCGACTTTGTGCCGCATGTGTCGAAAAAGCCCACAACCAAGGCTCCACCTCAAATCACTCCACTCCATCCTTCAGTAACTCCAGAGTCCTCTGTCAAAGTGCCCAAACCCACCGACTTTGTGCCGCATGTGTCGAAAAAGCCCACAACCAAGGATCCACCTCAAATCACTCTACTTCATCCTTCAGTAGCTCCAGAGTCCTCTGTCAAAGTGCCCAAACCCATCGACTTTGTGCCGCATGTGTCGGAAGCACCTGGGTATGACTTAGGATCTCCCAAATCACCAGTTCCCCCCATAAAAGAAGGCACTGATCCTGATCTGATGGCCAATACGAGTCAACCTGTTGTGCAGGATCAAGATGATTACTCAAGGGATGACGACCAAGACGAAGATGACAACATGCCAAGTGAAACCAATAGTAATGAAGCTAACAAGCAGCTGCCTGATGAATTCCAATTCTCAACCCATAATAAGGAAGTCAACTCCGACAGCTCAGAAGAAGAGGACACTCACTTTTTCTTTCATCTGATCATCGTGGCTTTCCTGGTGGCTGTTATTTACATCACCTACCACAATAAGAGGAAGGTGAGCTGCTTCAGCTTTATTTTCATCTTTCATTAGCAGTAACTTAAGAGTTTGTCATTTCTAAGTGTTTATTTTTTTAAACTTTTTTATAATTTACAAAGTGTAATATAAAAACGTATTAGTTGACACAAGGGATAGACCGATATATCATTATCGGTCAATATGCGTCTTTACTAGAGCCAGTTTAAAGTGACAATGTGTAGTTTTTCCATTAACTTCTGGAAATATCCATCAAAATGTTTTTGAAAATGAATGAAATGATGCCCAGTTGTTGGAAAAAAATACTGTCGGCTTCGTAACACATAATCATAAAAAATCAGGTCTAAAATACATGGGAGCAGGTCTAAGGGTGTTTCTCAATGTCAAGGCGCCTGGCCTTGCGAGGCGATGTCTTGCAAGGCCAGGTACCTTACTTACGAGGACACTGTCCTTCCTTGGTCAAATAAAACAAATGGAACAGACTTGCATCACGTGACCGTGGCTTCCATGACGGTCACGTAACGTCACGTGACATGGGAGATAACGTTATATTTTATACGTATAAGTTTATATATATATATATATATATGTAAACGGGCCTTTTACTTTTTTAAATTCTGTATATTTGTTAAATTATATATGTAAGCGAGTTACTACCTGCTAGCCACCGAAGCTGCAACTAACCAACCATAGATTACTTCTTTGGATATAAAAACATTTTAAATGAGTTGATTTACTTTTAAACTAGAAATTTGCCCCGAAGTAGCTGCCGGCTTCTGATCTGCCATCCTTTTGAAAATACTGCTGTGAATTCTGGGAAATTTTTGATCAAGGCTAGGTTACAAGACACCTCCCGTGTATCCTTGCTCAGCTAGCTAAATGGCTAACAAACAGAACACATGCCTCGTTAGAACATGAACATTGGAACACGTCTTGGCGGCTCCTGATGACGCATCTCCTAGGCGGGCGGGGCTAAGACATCAAGTCAAGGTTCCTTGGCATTGAGAAACACCCTAAGTCTCTGGGCAATGCCATATTAGATGCCATTTTTCCTTCTACAGGAGCCCATGAGGACAAAATGCATTTACTGATTTGTAAAAAATGGTTACAAAATGTTTGTCATTCTTAAGTTTTACACATTTACCTCTTCACTTGTTGCCAGTGATGAAAGAGGGTCTGTTATTTTGCCAAAGTTTGCATTCCCCAGGGCTTTTTGACCCAAATGTGCGTCCATTGTAAAAGTTACTCCAACACAAATACTGCATGCTTTCAACAATTTAGGTATCTACTGCCCCCTATTGCCAGGAAAAAAACACTGTCACTTTAAGGTCAGGCACATCCAATGGCAGCCCTGTTGCTGTTGCAGAAGTTTTATGTTCCTAGAAAAAACTCAGCTCATAACTGCTCTAAAACATTGTCAACTGATTTGCCCAAATTTGGTTAAATGTTTGATTTCAATACTGAGCAGTGAACAACGCTAAGATTCAACAGTTGGTTAAATTCAGTGTTCAGAAAAGATTTCAGGTTCAGGATTGTTGTGCATCCACCCTAGTGACATTTTAGCATGTAAACAAGGCAGAAAACATCCAGGTATCAGTCTTGAATTTCAGCCCAAAAGATCGTTAGCAAATTTCAACCATCAGCTGACCGTGACCTCTGTATATTGGTTCTGGCAATAGAAAAACCCAAATCGATGTATGTTTAGTGCATCTGTGGGACATTTAGCACGAGCAGATTCATTATGAACTTCAGTGCATCTCAGCTGGATTTTGATAGCAATATTTAGCTGATCTGTGCAGAAAAGACGGAGGACAAGAAAATTTACTCCTCTGTGTTGTGCAACAAGAACTGCCAGTCATTTGTCATGTTTATTTATCATTGAAAACACATTTCAAGTGAAGGAAAGTACAAATATATATAATTATAATATAATCTCTTGGGTATAGCAGGGGATGTTTTGTGACTCCATGTGGGACTTTAATGGTGTTTGAAGCTTTATTTAAAATGAGGAAACTCGACACAAAAGCATCTCCACTGTAGGCTCTTTACAAAGTGATTTACTTACCAGCCACATGTGAATGTATATTAAAAACATGTAATAAATAATTGCCAGAGTATACATTAAAGACACAAACATACTTATTTCATCCCCTTTACTTTTTACCTCAAAGTACATTTATGATTGAAAATAGAAGAAATAAAACTTTTAATCTTAACAGATTTTTAAGATAGCTTTTCTACTCCCATGTGATGTTATGCTGATGTGTGGATTTCATATATGCAGCCTTTTAATCTTGTTTTTTTTTTTGCTGACCTGTCAAACAGGAAATGATTTCACATCATCAGCACATGTATATCCAGCACATTCATTTGATTCCAGTCAGCACTTTGCCCACGAAACCGTTCATCCTCGTTTTTTATTCTCAGATCGTCCTGCTGGTCCAGAGCCAACGGTGGAAAGAGGGTTTATGTTCTCGTAACAACGTGAAATATCACCGCCTGAGCCAGAACGTCAACGAGGCCATGCCCTCCCTCAAGATAACCCAAGACTATGTCTTCTGATCCTCGCTTCAAAGAATGTGTTCTCCAGTCAGCCCTGTTGCCTGGTTGTTGCCCAGACTCTGTGCTTCATTTGTGTATTTTTGGTCTACTCCATAGTCTGTAGGAGATGGGGGATGCTGTTTCAGTTGACTAGAATGATTTTATTCTGACCTTTTTGAGCATTCTTTAATGTTAATTTTATAGTAAATTTTTTAATATATTGAATGCTTGAAAGGTCTTTTGAGAGTAAATCAGCCTTATGTCATCTATTTTGTGTCTTTAACACTCACTGTAACCTTTAAAAGAAGCAACACGATCAGATATTTAGGTTGCAGCTTATTTTTGTTGTAAATGTTAAATTTCACCTTCACTGAATGTTAAACTATTTCTTCACAACTATATTTTATGACACTTAAGTTGAAGATTAAGTTGCCCCTTCCTCATATAATTTGTGATGTCCATTCTTTAATGACTGGTGACCAACTGGGCTACATATGTAGCATTAGCTTAGAAGGGTGATGGGAAAATCTTATGTGCTAAAGCCATTTAAAAGCAGACAGCTGCTGTTTAGAATATAATATAATAAAGAAAGAAAAAGCTGTAATGATCAGATATTTGTTCTTTTCCACATTTTGATTTTTATGTTGATCTATGGGTACATATGCCCAGATATTGCTATGCAGATTTTCTGTGGCTGGCCTTTTTGTTTTATGGCTTCAGTGAAGTCACCAGACTTTTTTATTTTTTCACCTAAAAAAGTAATAATGGGTGTTCTCTTATGCAATTTTTTTTATTCCTGTTTGATTTGGTTGGTAGATTTGGACCCATTTTCAGAAACTGCATTGTCTTTATGACCTGTTGTCCAAAAGTCAATTTAAAACACACCAAAGACCAAAATCATCCTGTTTGTCTCATCTGTTACCGTGTCATGCCTTCATTCCTGGAGTCGTAATTGCCACGTGAATCTCAAAATGTTCTTAGTCTCCTGTTCTCTGTTGGATGCTTTCAGGTGTCTTGTTACTCTTACAAGTCTACATTAGGTAGACAGATTTGCACTGTGCTGCTCAGTCATGCTAGCTCAAATATGACCCCCATGATCAATACTGCTTTTGCAATCAGTAGAAGGTGTACAATCCTTTTGTCAATAAAGCACAAATTATGTAGATTCTTTGTGATTTCTTTGGTTCTGAAAATTTGATTTTTAAATGTTAAACAGGAAACCATTGATGGTAGCTGTGAAACCAATCTTAACCACAAGGTGGCAGTGTGCACACACAAAATGGCTTGCAGGGCTTTTCATAAAAGGGACATGAATGTGAGAGAGAAAAAGGTTTTCATCATTTGGCTTTCTGGTAGAAAGAGTTTATTAAAGAATACTTTTATTTTCTATCTTTGGTGTAATCAGTGTGTTACCAAAAGGAAAACATGTTCAGAATCCTAAATGGTGGATTTTCTAAGCAGCAAATGAACTTTTATAGCAGCTTGTACTTTTTGTAAACAGACAAAAAAGACCAGTGTTTGTTATTGTAACTATTTGGGACTGTCATGTTTTGATGAATGACTGCTACAGTTGGTTCCTGCAGCAGTATTGGTCCAAATGTCCTACAGGTCTCAGCTAAAACACATTACCTGGTCAGAATCTAGCAAAACTCTCCTACATCACGAAACCTTGATTTGAAATGTAGCTGAAAACAGTGGAGTAAAAGTACTAGCAAACATACTTAACTCCTGACCTGTTGTGCTCTCTTGCAGTCATTGTCAGTGCATTTTTCCTCCCTCATAATAATTGTATTAAAAAGATTAGAAAGAGGTATAGTTTAGAGTCTATATGTCTTTGTGGATCTGATTTTGAACACAAATCAGTCAAAACTAACCAAGAATGAAATATAAATTCTGTTTACCTTCTGATCTCACGAAAAAGCTTTGTGCAGTGCTTCAAAGCCCTAAAACTAAATTTATCAACATCACAGGAGTTTTCTGTCTCGTATTCAGTCTGATTAAAGGGTTAAATGTAGTCACAGGGCTGTTTGGTATCGGGGTGTGTACCACATTAAACATGGACCACAGAATCCTCAGGAGAGACGTCTCTGATTAGAGAGAACAACACGTTAAAGATAAATGCTACAGGACCACCTCCAAGCAGCTTGATATCCTTACGAAAACATTTGGACTTATACTGAGAAGTTCAAGGTCCATGGGACAGAAGACGACCTTGCTGGACGTGGATGCAGAGATTAAAAAGATGTATAATCTGAATGGTAACCACTGAGCTCACAACTTCCAAAGAGAATAAAGTTGAACTCAAGGGTCAAGGTTAATCAGTGTCATATTACCCCATCTGCTGGTTGAGCTAAAGAATGGAAGACAGCCAAGGAGGACACAGTTAGCGAGATCCATTTGGCTGATTTGTGTGTAATATGACTTCTCCCAATTAGAATCATTGCTGTTATTGAACCTTCTGGTGTACAAATGTATGTTTGGGCTATTTGCAAAGGTAACACCCTCTAGTTTCACCCATAGCAGTCAGATTCACTGTAGATAATACCGATTATAAGTTATGAACGTTAGAACTCAGAAAAATGAATTTCTTTTGTAAAAGAAAAAAATAACAAAAAAGGTGCCTATAGCTGCAGTGGGTAGTTGGGGACTGAACCACTATATGCAGTCCTCAAAGGTAGGAAAAGTCAAGTCTTTAAAGTTTTTGCTTTTTTTGTAACAAAGACTTTAGTGTTAGCGCTGTGGTTATTGTGTGTCAAAATCATCAGAAAGATGAGACTGAGGTTTAATTTGATGCAAATATTGTCAGGGTGGGTGATGAAGGGGCATGCATAGCTGGTTGTAATGTTGTCGAAAGTAGTTATGTGCCAGGACTGGTAATGGTGAGCAAATAATACAACTGTGAGACTGGAATTTATGAAATACAGACTGTGAAGCCATAGTGATTCTTAGGAGAATGCCCCTTGGATAAATGAGACTCAGCTGGAGCATTTTGGAAGGTTACATCAGCTCTATGTTCACAGATGAAGCATAAGAAAAATGGTAAAAACGAGGGTCTTTTCTGTTCTGGGGATGCTTTTGGTGCGTTGGGTTTCAGGATACAACAAAATCTCAAGACTATCAAGGCAATCTGGAGTGATTGGATTGGAGCAGCCTGGTGACAGAAAGCTTGGTCTTCATGGATCTTAGGATAATGACTCACACACACGTAGAAACGCCTGAGAATGAATCAGAACCAAACATGGGACTTTTCTGAAGTGGTCTTCGATGATTACAAAGGATTCATGAACAATGCAGTTGTCTACACTGCAAAACCAGATTTCTAACAAAGTAAGAAAAACACATTTTTAGAAGTTTAATCAAATTTTTAGCCTGTAAAAATCTTTAGAAAATTGCCTTACTTAAAGTAAGTTAAATATTCTTAAATATCATCCATTTTTTTCTACTGAGTAAAAAATTCTGCCAATGGGGTAAGCAAAAGTTGCTTCTTAAAACCAGCAAATAAATAAAATTGTAGAAACCTTTTTTGTTTTTAGAAAAAAAAGGATAAAATGTCTATAAAATGTGTTTTTATGCTTTCTTAGAAATCAGTTTTATTAGTGTATGACCTCCTTAGTTTCCTTTAAGGTCAATTTTTTTCATGAAACGCCTCTGGTGTACACCAGACGACAGTTTCTGCAGGTTTGCCATAAACACAAGTAACAAGTCACATTTGATGCCATAGAACCCCGCTCATCCATCACACTGTAGGAAAGCTTAAGTTGTATAATGTGCAACAAAGAGGGTTAGGTTAGGACCTCTGGGTGCACGTCATCATAAGACAAGATCACTTTGGGTATTTTTGTACATGTTATACTGATCAGATTTATAGCAGACACAAAATCCACCATCCAGAAAATTTCACAACTAGCTTATTTCTGATCACCAGAGGGTAGAAATCTTGTCAGGGTTTATCCGATGGCTTTGGAAAAAGCTTTTCTACTTAACCCTCTCAGGCTCAAAATAAGTTTTGATAAAAGGATGAACAACTAAGTCCTTCAGGGGTAGTTCTGAGTTAAAAATGCTCATGAAATACGTGTGTGGAGTAACCAGGTAGGTAGGTTTTAACGTTACAAATCTGCAACGCCTGCCTCCAGAGGGTTAAACGAGTTCCTCCGTGAGCCGCAGTTACTAAAAACATTGAAGTTAAAACCCACCTTAAAGAGTTGTTGCAATATCAGCTCACACAATCAGAGATGTTGTTTTCTTTGTGTTTCCATTTAAAATGTCAAAAAACTAAACAAATAAAGTTGGTCACTATAACTTTTTCACATGCTAGGTGGATATTCAGAAAAAACTTGCTAATTACTCACATTATCTGGTTGTTTCTGTCTCATTTCAAGGGGATAATTAAACGTCTAATACCTTCTTGCGACGGGGATTATCCTACACTAACAGGCATGACAAAACCTCAATCTTTGTTTTTAATTAATTGCAGCAAATCTATCTCGAGAGGGTGCTTTATTACAAGAGTGATGCGTGTAAATCCTGGCAGATATGGACATTCCTAATCGAGCTACATCCTCGGAGCGTTGTCCGTTGAAGCAGCAGATTTACTGTTTGGAAAAGCAGCCAGGCATCACAGGAACAAATGAGCTGGAATATATTTTTGATGCATCAAGATGCTTCTATGAAACCATCAGTCAAGTACAGTTCTCTGATATTGACCAGTCTAGCCTCTTTAATAATTTCTGTTTTTTTCAGCCTTTGCTTGTTTAGATCAGCTCACGTTTATAACCCAGCTCCAGCAAATATTCCTATTTTTTCCCTCTCCTCTCACAAAGACATCAATACATTGAGCGGCAGGAGACCTGGGGGTGTTGCAGATAAAACTGTCGGGTCGAGGCCAGGGCTTATCAAAGCACACGCTGTTGTGATCAGATCATGTGGTCTGGCGCTATTAGCTGCCTCCTCAGTGGGAGAGGTCAACGGAATCTCAAACGCTGTTTAGTCCTGCTCCAGTAATCTTTGCAACAACCACCTGTGAGTCAAATACAGTCAAATACAGTTTTAGAACAAACAAAACCAAATAGTTAGAGAGTGGTAGATGAAGCAGTTGACTCGGTTTCACAGCCGGTTGCTCATAAATGGAATTTGTTGTCTGTTCTTGCAAAATATATGTTTTTATACTTCTCTTTAGCTTTATTTCATGGTGAAAAAGGAGAGTTACTTTCAATATATAAATGTATATCTAATAGCTGATGGAAAAAACTGGTGCAGACTATAAGGAGCGCTGGAGTAGAACACTGCTGAGCTTTGATTGAATGAGGGTCTGCAGGTGTAAGCAGGTGCAGAGGCAGAGTGAGAGTGTTTCCTGCCCCATCACATAGGAATCGACTGACTATAATAGAGAATGAAAGGTAAAGAAGGGTGGGAAAGCCAACAGGGATCTTGGTAGGGACAATGGGAAAAACAAACAGGTCATTTTAGGCCACAAAATAAAAAACACAAATAAAAGATGTCAGTGAGATCATCACCCGTCCATCCCAACTAATCCTGAGTGGAGCTGGTGTCTTTTTCCAGCAGCCACTGGGTGAGAGGTGGGGATACCCTGGACGGGTTGCCAGTCTCTCCCAGTTCCACATAGAGACTCGCAACCATTCCCACACTGACTCAAACCTATGTACTGTTTCAGAGTTGCCAATCAACCTAACCGTAGAAACGTATTCTGTTGCGGAAGCAAAATGACTTTGCTTTGCAGGTCGGTCTAGCCACGCGCCATTAAAGCCTCAGCAGATCTTAATAATCTTGAGTCTTGCCAGTCACAGCACTCTATCGGTTTGGTGGGCGGGATGTCGTACTGAGACTGAGCGATAACACAAAGAAGGCGTTGGCTTGTTTGAAAAGGCTTTGGCATCAACTTTGGACTATTTAGATTTGGGTTATTTTTTTTGTGAATCAAGAGGTACTTAAGTCCTTTATTTAGAAAAAGGATGCCTTTGTGCCTTCATCAACAGAGTATGGCAGACTGCCCCATTGACTGACATCCATAGGGTTGTTTGTTGTCAAATAGCATGCAGAGGCAGTTTGAAAGACAATCGTAGATTATGCCCCACAACTGAGTCGTGGCTAGACTTTATATTCACATGTATACAGTATGATGGCATGCCAGGCTAATCTTTGGCCTGC